CAGCTCCGTTCCCTGCCCTGGACACGCTCCAGCCCCTCGGTGTCTCTCTTGTCCTGAGGGGCCCAGAGCTGTCCCCAGCACTGCAGGTGTCCCAGCAGTGCCAGCACAGGGGACAGCGCTGCCCTGGGGCTGTGTCACACCCTGGCTGACACAGCCCAGGGGCCTCTCGCCCACCTGGGCACCCTGGGCTCCTGTCCATGCCCTGTCCCCAGCAGCCCCAGGGCCTTTCCTGACAGACACTTTCCAGCCCCTGTGCCCCAGCTGGAGCTGCAGGGGTTGGTGAGAACCAAGTGCAGGATCTGGCACTTGCTCTTGTTCTTGTTGAACCTCACACGACTGGGCTCAGCCCATGGATCCACCCTGTGCTGATCCCCTTGCAGAGCCTTCCTGCACTCCAGTCTGTCCCAACCTTCCCAAACCGAAAGGTTTGGGGCACTGCACTTGTTCATGGACCGCCTCTTGAAAGATCTATATTTATTCCAAGCTCTCATTATGTTTCCTCAGCCTTGTGTTGTTAGAGAAAGGCACCAGAAGGCAGTGACAATTTTAGTAGTCGGAAACACAGTCAGTGCAGCCTCAAAATCGCTCAGTGTCCTGCAGGAGCTACTGAGACAAAGAGAAGTGCTGATGCTGGTGCCTGCAGGAAAGATCAGGGTGAGGAGAGGCTGCACCAGGTTGTGGTTCCTCCCCAGCCCGTATCCAGGAGGGTAGAGCAGGACAGACAAAACTCATTGCAGGGAGGGAAAGGACTCGCTGCAAATCCACCCACCTGGGACCAGCATCCTACAAAAAGGAGTTTTTGACTAGTGATTTTCCATGTGAAGTCTCCTCCCCCTAGGCAAACAGGTTCCCTGCTTGTCCCAGAGACACCAAAAGCAATGGACCATTCCCCCTTGATGCAATGACTTATTCCCAGAAATCCCACCTTGTTCCTTTGAAACGAATGACCTAGGGATTTCACAACGCTGCTGCTAAGTTCCACCAAGCCAGTCCCCATTTAGAGAAGGACAAGCAGGGGAAAGGGGAAGTGAAACAGCCACCCCCAGTCAGCAGCCAGGGAATAAAGCCAGGCACCCAGGGCTGCATCCCCCCAGCCACAGGCTGGTTTAGCAGCATCACTGAACACGCTGCAGGGAGCAGAGCATTGCCTCAGGGAAGGCAAAGTCACCAAAATTCCACTCTCCAACTTGCAACCTGTTAGCCCACAGATCAGAATCAGGCTGGTTCTTAGCATTATTGTAATTTTTATTTTTACCGAGTGGTTTTACAGCACTGAATTGCACTGATGACACCCAAGGCTGTTGGGTTACCTGAAACAGGTGCAAGAACAGGCTTGTGGAGAACAAGGCATGTGCTAAGAAAGTGGAAAAAAAGTGAAAGAAGAAACCTCACACAGTGAAAGAAGAAGAGCAGATTGCAAAAACAAATGAAAACAAAATGTCAGTCTTGCCCAACCCGTGGCAATCACTACAGGCAGGGCAAGGGCAAATGAACACGAGCTTTGGGGTAATTTTGTTTTTGCACAGCTCCTTCACAGGCAGGCAGGATGCACAGCCTGTGGGACTGAGTGACATGGGAGTTGGAGCATGCAGGGCAAAAATGTTCAGCTCCAGGCATGTCTGGACTTCAGTTCCTAAGCAAGCAGAAGCTGCAGTGGGGTGCCAGAGAACAAATATCTTTACTTAGAAAATTCATCATCTTTTATTGAGACCCAAGAGCACGAGCAAACCGCAGTGCAGAGAGCCAAGTGGCCCTGTGTTTTCCCAACAGAGCACATCAGGAATATCACACCATCAGCTCCAGCAGGGAACAGGAGCCAGTGCAGAAGCAGACACAGCACCCACGGAAGGAACCAGAACTGCTGGGGTTTAAAACTGAATCAGTCCCCAGGCGAGGCTGAAAGCACAGTCCTGCTACCCTGACAGAGCAAAGGGAGGGCTGCAGCTTAGCCTACAATCACAGAATCCAAAATGGTACAGGTTGGAAGAGACCTTAAACCTCATCCAGTGCCACCCCCTGCCATGACAGGGACACCTTCCACTGTCCCAGGTTGCTCCAAGCCCTGTCCAACCTGGCCTTGGACACTGCCAGGGATCCAGGGGCAGCCACAGCTGCTGGGCACCCTGTGCCAGGGTCTCACACCCTCACCTTTACTATCCTATCCCCACAAACCAGTCACATTTCAAAGCTGGAAGATCCAATACCTAAACTGCCCTAGGTTTTGAGAGTTTGCACATTTTTTTAGACTTTGTCCCATTAGTGTCGGAGAAGGGAGACACGGACACCAATTTGGTCATCTGCAAAGTATGATTAGTTAAATCATACGTCTCCTGGAGTGCTCCCAAAGTCTCCTCCTTCTCACCAGGCTGTCCTAACCACTGAGAAATTTTCTCCCACCAGAGTAACATACATTTTCCCCAATATTTAGGGATTCTGCAGGTAGAGTGGGATGATCTGGGGGGAAAAAAAAGACATGGAAATTTTGTTGGACCAGCAAATCTGAAGCTGAGCCAGCATCACCTCTAAAGGACAATGTGTGGCAAGCATGTGCCACCTGCCCAGGATCATGCAGCAGTGACCCTTTTGGTCTCACCTTGTCTGACAGGTGAAGAACCTACAGAAGACGAAAGTTGTGCCTCACCAAGCTCTTTGTAATGATAGCTTTAAACTAAATGATGGGAATGATGGCTTTAAACTAAAAGATGGGAGATTCATATAAAATATAAGGAAGGAATTGTTTGGATTGTTTATGACTGAGGGTATTAAAACACTGGCACAGGTTGCCCACACAAGCTGTAGCTACCCCACCCCTGGAAGTGTTCCAACCCAGGTTGGACAGGGCATAGAGCAACCTGGTCTCATGAAAGGCATGCCTGGCCATAGCAGGGTGGTGGACTAGCTGGTTTGTAAGGTCTTTCCCAACCCAAACTGCTCTATGCTTCTATGATTCTAAGAAATCACTTACTTCAGAAAAGACTTCTATTTTTGCCTTATGCAAAGCAATCTAAGAGGAAAATTGCAGGAGGAAGTGTGTGCCCACTCACAGCACTCAGCAGCAGGTGGAAGCTGGATGTGCAGCCTCCCCCCACAAATCTCATCTTGATTTGTTTTTTTTTTTCTTCCTAGCCTTATTCCCCCCTCCTCCCCAGCCCTCACAGCTGATGCACAGTCACCAGTACGTGGTGTGGCAGCTGCTTGGGGTGGTACCTGCCTTTTCCATGGGACCAACGACCACAGAAGAGCCTCAGTCTCTCCACTGAGTCACATCGATCACGTTCCCATCCAACCTCCACCCCAGCTGCCTGCTCCAGGCACGTTTCCTCCGTCAGGGGACTTGCAGCACACAGGCTTCAGAAAGAACAAAAATGAGGAAAAATCCCGGGCACCACCCATGGTTTGGGGCTCTCAGCAAGAACCAGGGGTTATTCAGGAAATAGCCGTGTTTGTAGTAAAACTGGTCACACAGGGGTGAGCACCCCACACAACACCCCAGATCCTCCTTGTCTTGGGAGCTGCAGGCTGCTCCTGTCCTGGTGTTTTCTCCCTCTGAGCACCCCTCCTCCAGGATCCTCCTTCAAAAAGCACCACACCACTGCTGGAGAGGAACAAACCAGGCAGAAATAGCCAAAGTCGGCCCTGTGGTGAGAAGCTCTTCTTCAATCCAGTGTGCCACTGAGGCACCACAAACCCTGTCAACTCAGCCCTTCTGGCATCACAGTTATTCCTTCAGCCCAGGGGGTGCTGCCACCACCCTCAAAACCTCCCCTCTGCAGGTCTACAAAGCAAAGGGAGCACCGTGGAAAACTTGTGTGTAACAAATAGCTGGGAAACAGCTGCCAGATGCAAAGTTAGTTTTATTCTCCACAACAGGTTTGACATCTGTGTGGGATTTACATATTTGACAACACTATGCCAGTTAACTCACTAATGATGCTGGGTGAGGATGGTGCTCTGCACTTTTTCCTCAACACTCAGGAGTCCCAAACCTGGTGCCAGCTCTTCCTGGGAAACCCCAAGCACCATTCACAGATGAGGATTTTCTGCCCCAAAAGACCAAATTTAGTAATTTACTTCCTGGTTGCCAATACCTAGAACGAAGATCCACCACAAGAGGAACCGAGTAGCCACAGAGCTGAAGCTTTGAAGCAGATATGTGGGTTTCCTGTACTTCTCCTTTTATATAAACATAATTCAGACCGAGAAGAATAAATTGTGGTTTTCCCCGAACTGTAGGTCTTCCTCCATGGTTCAACAGCTGGCAGCAGCACCACACCAAGTGACTTGCTCCTAGCCCAGAATTAGCTCCACATCAAGAGAACATTTTTCACTATGGTGTCTCCAAGTAGTTCACTGATAGGAAATTAATGATATCAAACCCTTCAGCCTGGCACTGACCTCCTCCAGCAAGGCAGCAGCCACTTGCTGGGATTATTTTGGCTGCATGGAGCAGTTTGCAAAGCCACAACTCTCAAGACATGCATGGTGGGCAGTGCCTGCTGGGGATCACAGAATCCCAGAATGGTTTGGGTTGGAAGGGACCTTAAAGACCATTTCATCCCACCCCCGGCCATGAGCAGGGACACCTTCCACTATCCCAGGTTGCTCCAAGCCCGCCTCGTCCAACCTGGCCTTGGACACTTCCAGGGATGAGGCAGCCACACCTTCTCTGGGAAACCTGTGCCAGTGTTTTATGGACCCAGAGCATTCAGCAACGTCACCCCACGACCACGATCGTCGGCTTTGGAGCCAATTCTAACCAGAGAGCAGTGATCCCTCCACCTCCAGCTGTGCCTTCCCGGCTCCGGCTGGCTCTGCCCCCTCTGTCCCGGCCCCGCCGTGCTCCCACTCACCCAGAAGTGGTCCCTGAACCGCGCCTCCCGCATCCTGCTGCCGCCGCCGCCGCGCTCCGCCGCTCCCTGCCCTGCCCTGCCCTGCCCGGCCCGGCCCGGTCCGTCCCGCCCCGCCGAGTCTCCTCCCACGCACGGGTGTTCCCGCCCCAGGATCCCCGCGGGTGGAGGAGCGGGACATGCTGCGGGATGTGGGTGGTACCGGGGGGGAAAGGATGCTCGGCATCAGCGCGGCCCGGGACAAACCCACCCGTGACGGCCGATCCCGCTGCTTCCCCAAGGAAAGACGGAGCGGAGCGGGAGCAGCTCGGCCGGCGGCTGCACAGCCGTGCCCCCCTGCGTGACCCTGCCCGCCCGGCTCGGAGCTTCAGGAATATTTTGGGAAGGTTTCATGGAATCGTAGAATTGCTCAGGTTGCAAAAGCCCTCCAAGGTCATCGAGTCCAACCATTCACCCGGCACTGCCAAGCCCACCATTAACCCATGTGCCACACATCCACAGGACTTTGTAATCCAAGGATGAAGACCTCACCACTGCCCTGGGAAGCCTGTGCTAGGGCAGGAAAACTCTGTGCTAGGGCAGGTGAAGACATTTTCCTGATATCCAGTCTAAACCTGTCCTGGCACAGCTGCAGGCTGTTGCCTGTCCTGTCCCTGCTCCCTGGGAGCAGAGCCCGACCCCCCCCCCGGCTGTCCCCTCCTGTCAGGGAGTTGTGCAGACCCACGAGGTTCCCCCTGAGCCTCCTTTTCTCCAGGCTGAGCCCCCCAGCTGCTCCTGAACACACACAGCCCACCTTCACCACACACATCCCATGCCGCAGCTTTGTTAGGAGTTATTGCCTGACACAAGGCACTCCATGAGGGACCTCTGAGCAATGCTTGGAAAATATGAAAGTGGAGGTCGGACACTATGTACTGAAATGCCTCCATCACACCCACGATACTCAACTGCTTCCTCTGCTTGAACACAGAGACAGCTAAAACACGCCAGTAATGTAAAAAAGGGCATTTTTAACTTAATGAAGTAAGTCTGCTCAATTGTAACCTGAGGCTGATTTAGGGAGACTAAAACAATCCATCACCATGAATCCACAGCATCAAGTACCTAAACGGGCTCAGAGAGAGCTGGAGAGGGACTTTAGACATGGGCACAGAGTAACAGAACAAGGGACCACGTTTTACCACTGAGAGACAGCAGGGATAAACAGGATATTGGGAAGAGACTCTTCCCAGAGAAGATGGTGAGGCTGGGGTTGCCCAGAGCAGCTGTAGCTCCCCTGGAAGTGTCCAAGGCCAGGCTGGATGGCGCTTGGAGCAAGCTGGGCTCAGGTGTCCTGCCCATGGCAGCAAGTGGATATAGATGATCTTTAAGGTCCCTTCCAACCCAAACCATTCTGGGATTCTGTGATCCACTCACCATTTCCCAGCTTCCCAGCCCCACCCCTCAGCCAGGGCAGCCCATGGCACCACTCAGGACCTGTGACACATCCTCCAGAACCTTCACCCACTGACCTTCACTCTGACCCGACTGGATGAATTTAGCACATAGTGCTTCCATGAGGAAGTTACCATCTTCCTGTATCACAGCAGCAAGAGAGCAGAAACCAGAACTTTGGAACATTTATCTTACATTACTAGAAAAAAAATAAATGTCTGAGTAGTTTTGGACTAAGACACCTCTGAGCTCAGGGCTTTCCAACTACAGCAGCACGTAAATAAAGCATAGCACAGCAACATCAAATAGTGATAAGGGCTTAGTCACTGGGCAGAAACAGTCACAAGCTGTAAAAGCTGTCCTGGAAAGAACAAGTGATGTTGGGCAGAACAGAGCAGAAAAGTTCCACAGCAGTATTCCTTCACACCTGTGAGGCCCCCAGCCACCTTTTCTGGGGCTGTGGGGTAAAAAAAAAATGGTCAAAAACCAAAGATCTGCAGAGGAGTCCCTCCTCCTCGAGCACAGCACTAACTGTTCCCAAAAAGGTATCTGCCATCTCTGGAATCCAAGTGTGTGTTTATTTTTGCCCAGTGCTGCAGAGGTCGCTCTCTCAGAGCACTCAGGCCATTAACGAGAGAAGCCCGTTAGCCTGAACTGCACGAGAATGTTTCCAGCTGCTTGTAACTGCACAGGTTTGAACTGGGAGGCAGGACATTCCTGTACAGAAATTAACTGGGGACAGGGTACACATCAAGAGCAGTCCTGCCCCGGCCCCAACCCCCCCCCTGCCCTGGGCTGATCCCCCAGCGTGGGCAGCAGGGCAGGGGGGATTGTGCCCCTGTGCCCCTGTGCTCAGGTGAGAGCCCACCTGCAGAGCTGCCTCCAGCCTGGGCTCCAACAGCACAAGGACGTGCAGCTGCTGGAGTGAATCCACAGGAGGCACCAAGGGGATCAGAGGGATCGCTTTTGCTGAGATAATTAGGATTTTTCAGCCTGCACAAGAGGCAGCTTTGGGGTGACCTAACTGCAGCCTTCCAGTACTTAAAGAGAATTGACAAGATAGAGATTATTTATATGGGCCTAGAATGACCAGGAGTAATGGCTTAACAGTGACAGAGGCCAAGGTTAGATGGGATATTGGAAAAAAATTCCTGGCTGTGAGGCTGGTGAGGCCCCAGCACACTGTGCCCAGAGCAGCTGTGGCTGCCCCTGGATCCCTGAAGTGTCCAAGGCCAGGCTTGGAGCAACCTGGGATAGTCGAAGGTGAGGAGACAGAAGGGTCCATGACAGAAGGGTGGAGCGAGACAATGTTCAAGGTCCTCTCCACAACCATTCTGGAATTCTCAGATTTAAATCTCTAGCTATTACTACTGTGACAGCTACATCATGACACACAAGGACCAGTGTTCCAAAGGCCAGGCACCAGGATGGGTCAGTCAGATTCCAATAAATGCTCTGTCAGTGTCAGGCAGTTAAGAGACTCCTGTAAAATCCAGTTGGTTGTCCTCGTGACAAGACAGCCCAAGCTAACTCCCCAGCTGCCTATCCTGCCTTTCTGCAGGATAAGCTACCTGGCATAAACGATGAACACTGAGAAGGTCCCTCAGCTCTGCCACTCTCCTGGTTCACGTCAGGGGAGTTTGCCCACTCAACCATTAAAGATGACCCTGATTTCCAGAGTTCCTCTAGCAGGGCTGTCCAGGAGAGTTCAGCTCCGTGGTTCTACAGGCTCAAGAGTGAGTCAGAAGTACAGAAAAAAACAATCATTGAGAACACAGTATTTTTACATTCAGAACAGAACCTTTTTACACGGGAACCTTTATTCTCATCGAGATCTGTACATTCAAGTCGCACATGCTTTCGTCTTTGACGGAGCTGGAACACTGGGTCACAACAGCGTGGTGTGTTGCAACACTTTTAAGAGTTTATGCCTCGAAAGTAGCCAGGAAATTTGTGACTATTTCCTTCAACTTTGCTTCCGTCTGGTCAGAAATCTTCCCTTCGGTCCTGTGGGAAGAGTTCAGTTAAATTCTGACATAGTAACCAAAACAGGATCAATCCCGAGATAAACATAGAAGCTTTACAACAAACCCCCCCATTTCTAACGAATTCAGTAGATAAAGGAACACATTTTTTTGGTGCATGAAGCCACCATCCCACTGATAGAATATACTTCTCCTAGAAGAGCCAGTCCTGTTTTAAGAACTGGCGTTTATTCACAAATTCTTTCAGCACAGCCACATATATTCCAACAAAGCCTAACCTACAGAGCTGTGCCCCAGATACAGAAGGCATATGATTTTCTTCATGAAAAAAAAAAGCCAGGACTAATTTCCAGGGCAGGACTATGGAAATACTCAATCCCCAGCAGTTCACTCAGTGGCATTTAACCCACAGCACTCCAACAGCTCAAAGCTGTTGGGAATATGGGAACTGATTCAATCAAGTGATTTCAGGAACAGGTTAGAGCAGACACATTGCAAGAAGCTTCACTTTAAGCATCAGCTGCATTTCCTAAGAGGAAGGCGGGTGGTAGGAAGGCTGATTTAACCCCCAGTTTTGATACATCCAGCTGAACGCCTGATGATCTAGGATACACTAAATTAGCAGTTCAGTGACTATTATCTGCACTCCAGACATCAATATCCTTGGGATAAAGCAAGGTTAACCACCATACCTGATTGTGGAGAGGAGTGACTGGTGCTGGCTCAGCACATGAGCTAGGAAAGCACTCTCAAATTTTGTGATCTTGCTGGGCTCCAGCTTGTCCAAGTGACCTCTTACACCAGCATAGATGACTGCCACCTGCTCCTCAATCGCCATGGGAACTGCAGGAAAAGACAGCATTAACACCACTGGAACTCTTCCATCAGGACGTAACAGACTACAGAGTCCCTGGAAGACCACGTGTACATGGTTCAAGCAAATCTGCATTTACCATGTGCACAGAACAGACACAATAAACGCTAACCAAGCCCAGCCTCGTCAGCACAAGGCACTAATGGGGCAGGGCACTCACCGTACTGGCCCTGCTTGAGCAGCTCTGTCAGGCGCACGCCGCGGTTCAGCAGCTGCTGCGTGGCAGCGTCCAGGTCAGAGCCGAACTGGGCAAAGGCAGCGACCTCCCGGTACTGAGCCAGCTCCAGCTTCATGGTACCAGCCACCTGCAGGGCACAAGTCACAGCCACTGTGATCACCACCAAGGGTGGCTAGCGGCTTGAAGGTTATCTAGCAGCTGACAGTTGTCACGAGTCAGCTCTGCCTTGCATTCCAGACAAGTCAATCTAAAAACTGACAGATGATTGTAAACATTACAAAAATCCTGCACTTTACTGTAAGTACACTGTTTCTCCCCTAAAACAGCAACCGTTGACATTAAATCTAATTCTATGTCTGGACTAAATGCCTGTGGTTAAGACAGCATTCTCTAATCATAAGCGATCAATACATAATCCTGTATCTTTATGCAAATACTATTTCCTTTTCTCCCATGCCTTTCTCAGCAGGCAATGGAAGCATTAAAGACATCTCTGAAGTTTGTTCTTTCATAATTTCATAGCACTAAGAGATACAAAGCTTTATTCCCTCTGTTCACAGCTCAT